CCATTCCCTTTTCCCATGGCTCCTGTCACCATGCACAGAACCTCCCACTAACCTGTCTTACGTCCCCTGCTCTCTTTGAAATCCCTGGAGTACTCTGATTGTATCTCTCTTGTGGCACCTGCTTTACCCTACTTTCTTTAGTTAAATGGGTCTCACTCACCCCACTGAGTGTTAAGATTTTTTTGACCAGAAATTGTATCCTGTTTGTCTTTGTATTTGCTTTAACACAAAATACATGAGTACATATAAGGTACTCACAAGAAATAAAAATGCTAAATTGAATAAAGTCCAGGATTGGACTTATTTTTTATCTACTTGCTTCCTATGGAGGCATATCACATAAATCCAACAGCGGCACTCAAAGTAGTTAGCTAAAATAATGTAGCATCTGTACTGCTCACTCTCAGATTGTGTGCGATGTCTGCTAAAAATTTGTTAAATCCTAAAATCTGATTCATGTGTGTCGCTTTCCTGAGATATCATGCATGCTCTAGAATGCTTACCTCCTCACTAACCATGTTTTTTATTCACCTTATTATCTACATGACTCCTAGATCAACTCTGGCTATACTTGTACTTGACAATTTATTTTACAAATTGGGTATTCATTTTACAAGTTGGCATGCAGGTTTTCAGGGTCCAGGGTATGATTTCTCCATTGATTAATTAGAAGTGACACTGTTTCCACATTGCCAGCAAGTAGCGCATGTTGCACATATGTGTGTAGGGACATACTGTGGGACTTATCACCGTATAGGCTTGTCATGGACCAAAACCCTCTCACAAAAGAAAGGAAGAACATAGGGTGAAATTGAGCTGAAATGAACACCCCACTACCCCCTTCACCTCTTTTCCCACTATGCCTAGTGGAATGTCTTAGTGAAGAATTTCCAGAGCTCTGAAATCCAGAACTCTCAAGGTAGAAGTGCAACAGGAAACAGTTAACACTCTGCTTTTTTTCTTTTAAATAGCTTACACTACAGGAAGAAATGTCTAAGAGGATATTTAAATTCAGCATAAAATTCTAACAATCACAATTTTAATTGCATACCAACTGCAAAAATAATTCTTTCATTGTCTAAATACAAGGAAGGCTATAATACATGCTGTCTCCTATTTCAGGACTCCGTTATTAACATTTAAGAATATCTTCTATGATAAAAAGCCTCTTTTTCCAGCAAATGCATCTTGGATCTGGGACTTAATCTTCTAAAATCCTAACTCCTATTTTGAACCATGCTGAAATTTCACTCCTTGACATGAAAACACCCAGCACAATATTTAAGACACAGGAATTTTTTTGATTGGCAACTCAAAAACAATAACTTTTAGAAGCCACAAAAATGAAAAGCTACCTTCTTCAAAACATAAACACACACATTAAAAAAAATCACAATACACAATTGTATTACTCAAAAGCATGTCATCATAAATGCAAGAAAAGATTGGGTTGCTGTTTCCATAGAGATGACTTTATGTGGTTCAGCTCTTCTGGGAAGTTAACCAAATCCCCAGTAGCAAGAGAAAATCATCAGCAAAAATTCTGTAGCATATGGCAACTGCCAACAGATCACTGAGGGAAAAAAGTGCTTTTTCTTTTCCTTTTGATTAAGAGGAATACCTTCACATCAAGCTGTTTGAAGAAGCATACAGATTTTGCTGGTCACTCTACATGTAACTCAAAACTAAATAATGCCAGGTTTCTGCATTCTTACATTAAAAGAGCTGTTGGTACCCAGCCAGGTTCTGCAGCACATGCACTCCCAGAATGGCATTTCGACATGAACAAGAACTGCGGGCATCTTCCCATGGCTGTCTCCAGTTATGGTCTTAAAGGAAAACTCTCAATCTGCTGAGTTGTCTCTTGGGAAAAAAATACAAATGGAGTTTTATTCTTTATTATGCCTTTGAAGCTATGCTCATCTGGCGTGTGTGTGTGTGTGTGTGTGTGTGTGTGTGTGTGTGATTTTTTAGTTCTACTTATGACCCAGGCCAGTGGCTCATGCCTGTAATCCCAGCACTTTGGGAGGCCAAGGCAGAAAGATTGCTTAAACCCAGCCTGGGCAACACAGTGAGACCTCGTCTCCATTAAAAAAAAAAAATCAAAAAATTAGCCAGGTGGAAAGACATGTGCCTGTAGTCCTAGCTACTCAGGAGGGTGGGGCAGGAAGATTGCCTGAGCCCAGGAGGTTGAGACTGGCAGTGAGCTGTGATCATGCCACTGCACTCTAACCTGTGTGACAAAGTAAGACCCTCAACTCAAAAGAAAAACCTGTAACAGGAAGATAATAGTATAGTATTTTTCATTATTTTATTTAGTTCCACCAATCCTACATCTGGAAGGCTCTTCCAAATATCAAGTAACCTAGGTCAAGATACCTAAATTCTCTGGTCAGTGTATCTGTTCAAGAACAAAAATTGTAGCCGGGCTCAGTGGCTCAGCCTGTAATCCCATGCCTTTGGGAGGCTGAGGTGAGTGGATTGCCTGAGCCCGCGGGTTCGAGACCCACCTGGGCAACTTGGAGAGACCTCATCTCTACAATAAATCAAAAATTAGCCAGGCGTG